TTGACCATACCAATAATGCCTCATACTCAGTTTTATTAGATCAATTCGTGTTCTCGAGAAAAAAAATTTCACGATTCAAAAATCTGAGTATAGCGGCCAAGTTCTATTCTCAAAATTTTGAAAATTCTTCGTTGTTTGGCCTATATTTGCTTTGTATGGTATTTGCCACAAAATATAGGCCAAAAACGATAAATGTTCAAAATTTGGAGAAAAAAGATTTTTAAGATTTTTGGATCGTGAAATTTTTTTTCTCGGAGAACACGAATTGATCTAGTAAATCTGAGAATGAGGCATCATTGGTATGGCCAACAGCTATCAAAATTGATATATTCGCACTAAGGTTTTTTTGTGTTCCACAGTGTTATATAAGGGATACTTTGAGGAATCATATAAACAATTATACATTACCCAAGTTCACGTACATCCAAGTTCGAGTCATACAGCAAGCTTTTTAATGTTTTATTTATTTGTTTTTGAAATTAACAATATATTTCAGAATTTATAATTAATACGTTGTGTTCATTTTAGTAAATCCACTTTGATTTTTAATTGTACAAAATTTATTATATACATACAGTATCGGTCATATCAATAGCAACCCCATTTCAAAGTGATATTATTTTCCTCTCATGTTAATTTATTTCTAAGAATTTGCAATAAAAATAAAGCTCAATTTCTAACAAACCCCATATAAACCCAATTTTAAAACTTCGTAAAAAAACTACAAAAAATACAACAAATTTTCACCCAAAATTCACACTTTTTTCTCAGAAGTGTTAGAATTTTTTTGACCACTCAGTTTTATAGGTCCTTCAATTTTAGTCTTATTATATGCAAGTTTGAAGTGGCTAAAAATTACCGTTGATTTTTTAGAATCGATATAAAAACAAATCGTGTTTAATCGTCTTCCATATACCGAAAAACGCGACTATATATCGATGGCTGAGTGGAATATCGATCTATCTCGGCAGCCAGGTTGAAAACACTCGATATCAGAAAACTTTTCAACGCCCTATTTTAAAAATTTGGCCGGAAAACGCCCAATTTTAGAATTTGATTGAAAAATGCCCTATCTCAGAACTCGGTTCAAAAACACCCTATCTGAGCTGGCGCTCCAAAAAAGCCCTATCTCAGCACATTTTCAAAGTATTTTCATTTGAGATAGAACTTTTTTGAACTAAATAATAATGATAACATACTATATACATATCTAGTTTCAACATAAAAAAAATTATGTACACATCATTAATTGTCTATACATATCTAAGTCAATATATGTGATATATATTTATGTACATACATCTACATATCGTCGTTTAAAGTACAAAACCGTGTATCAATAAAATGCAAACCCGCTTATCAAGATAATGCAAACCCACGTATGCGAGGTTGCATAAATTATTTTCTAGAGAGTAAAAACACTCATATTTCAAAATGGTTATCTTTTTTTTTAAAAGCAATCGCATTTTTGGCTAGTATATTTCAGGAAGAATGGATAAGGATTAAGCCAAGAACTTGTGTGAGCAAGTCCAATTTTTAGCAGCAAATGTCAGTTACGCGGTTTTGTACTTTAAACGACGGTGTGTATATTAACAGGAACGCAGCAATCTAATACACGGTTGAAGAGGGAACGCAGCACAGCAGAAGCATACAAACAATCTGCGAAAAAATGGCTTTTTAGGTTTTTAACAAACAAAAACCTGGTTTCAACTTACTTCAACGTGTCTAAAGCACAACGCACACACTAATGCAAAGGCGCAACAGGGACGCAACACTATAAAACAACATTATAATTAAATAATTCGGTTTTATTACAATACTTAAGGCGCTGGCCCAATGCCGGCTTGCTTTGCACGCCTTGCTTACTTAAATTTGCTTCGATTTACTTCAAAAACTCGTTTGGCCAAATGCTGGCTTGGAACGCTGTCAAAGCTATCAGCTATGTAGTTAAAAAATTAAGGTCTGTTCCCTTACACTAAGAATAATTTTTCCGCAAAATTCCAGAAAATTAAAAAAAAAAGTAATACAAAACAATATTTTCAGATTTATTTTTAAATTAATGCGAATTAATTTTTGCATTTCAAAGGAATGATAATAACTATACATACATAACTAAATTTACATTTATTAAAAACAAAAAAAAGTAAAATTTTTCAAGAGACGACTGACTAGTAGTAACTAAATTTACATTTATTAAAAACAAAAAAAAGTAAAATTTTTCAAGAGACGACTGACCAGTAGTTTGACATCACAAATATCGCTAGCTTTGTGTGAAAAGTTGCTAAGTCCACATTTTGTCAAACCTCATATTTTGATAAAGGAAGCAAGAGAAATTAAGGACTAAAGTACTTGTTTTATTTTTTCTCGTTTATATTCAATGAAAAGTAAATTTTCTAAGTCCGAAAGAGGCCTCAGAAATCCAATAAGGCCAAAATATACGAAATCTTTTAATATAGATCGAATCCTTCTGATTCGTATGGAGTTTTGCTTTGCTTTAAACACGCAAAATGTTGTATTCAAAGTTCCTGTAAAATTTGTAGAAATGGACTTAGCAACTTTCAGCCAGCGATTTTTACATAAATTTAAATACGGAAACATAAAATCATTTTTATTATACTTTGAATTACTTATATTATATATATATTTTTTTAATTACGTAAGCAAATTTTGGCCCATAAAAGTGTGCAGCAGTTCGTAAGAATTCATTTAGAACGGGAACATACCTTTTTGTCAAAAGCCTGCAAAACGCTTTCAAATAAAACATTTGCTTATTTCAAACTTTGAGGCGCTTAAAGCAAGTGAAGAAAAGCTGTCATTTGGCCAGCCATCATACGTTTTAGTATATTTCAAATAAGTTTTGACAGTTCTCAAAGCGAAGCTAGCAAAGCAAGCCTGCATTGGGCCAGTACCTTTACCAAATTTCACGCAGTTAGAAAACAAATGTCAGCGAATAAGAACAAAACGAACAACGAAAATTGAATCAATGTAGCTTGTTTAGAATTTTTTCTAATATTTTGGGAAATGTTCAGTGAAATTAGCAAAGAAACAACACAGTTTATCCTAAGGTAGTTCAAGATGGCGGATTAGAGCGAGAAGTTGCCAACGTATAACACCTTTCATTATTGCATCATGTGTTATGACCGAGTTTCTGCTGAATCTCGTGAGAACGTTTTTTAAAATTACCTTAAAAGGCTTAGGTCCTGCAAACGGTCCCGTAGAGAACATTTGAATGATATTGTTTCGCTTATATTGGCATAGCTCCAACGTTATTATCAATTAAAACTTCCTCGAAATCCAAATATTCAGTGTTTTCCCTTCTCTTCCACAAATAGAAAATGAGTAACCCTTTACAATATTTACCGTAAGTATCTCGACAGTTTTAGTTATTTCCATAATCGGAAACCATCACCCATAGCTACGGTGACCACAAATATATTTTGAAAATGCAGGCCAATTTTTCAAAAAATTTACCTACATATAATTGCGTATACATACATATATACATTCCTCGTCATTTGAATAGCGCACCCTTTTTTGGATTTTCTTCCATACAAAGTATGCTTGACAACATTTTTATATGGAAGAAAAAGCGCAGCACCGTCAAAAAAAAATGTCGAACCTTTGTTTTTTTTTTTAATTTTCAAAAAATTTAAAATCGGGTTTAGACGTAAACTATGCTATATTTTTATAAAAAATTAAGGAATATCAAACAAACAAAAGGAAAACTGTAACTACTAAGGACTGTAAGGTGCTCTATTCAAATAACGAGGAGTGTATATTTGTTAATTATTAATCCAATTTTAAATTTGCTTCATTGGTATTAACCCTTTTGTAGTGAATATTTACAAAATTATAATAAGGCATATTACATATTACTTTACACGAAATATTAACCTCTGTAAAGTAAATTTTTTAGGCAAACGTGGGTCGCTGGACACGAAAAAAATACCCATGGTTCCAAAAGTGTTTTCGATATTTGTTCGAAAAACATATTTTTTGTACTGTTTTCAGTTATTCGTCAATATCTCATGAAATGACCTACAGTTGGTAAGGTATTGATGGGCCCTTTGCAAAAGTATATAATTTATGCAGACTGTGATCCGTAACATCTACATTTCACTTTTTTCGATTTTGGTCGCTTGTAACACTAATAATTTTCATCGAAATCGGCAAAGTAACTGTAGGTTAAATTACGAAAACGCTTGTTTGAAAAGAAAATTGGCTTGGAAAACATTTTTTTTTCTTAAGCGATTACCACAAAATTTGTAGAACAGTGCTATTGATATATTTGGCCTTCATTTTCTCGTCATCAATTGTCCGTAACTTTAGAACGCATTGACTGGTTGAACCTTCTGGTTCTGGTGGTTTTGCTTACCCTTATGTAGTTATCAATTAGTTTCGACACTGCTTTTGTTTCGATTAGGAAAAGTTAATTTTAAAATATCGAAGAAAATGCGGGACAAAGGCAGGACACTTGGAAAAAATCAGTACATTTTGGGGGCTTTCTGTTTTGAAAAACTACGCAGGACAGACTTTTAAATAACAGTACGGTCCTGCAAAAAACAGAACGGATGGTCACCGTACCCATAGCACATGGAGAGCTCGAGCTTCTTCGTGAGGTTCGCGTTACAATTTCCAACCGTTATCAATTATTTCATTGTTTTTTAAATACGCATACTATAAACAAGTTTATTTCATAATAGGGAGGAGTACCAGGGAATTCTCACATTCTACATTCCACTATCGAGTATTAAATGGTCTAGTATATTTGGATTAATGGAAAAGAATCGCGATAATTTGAATATCGAAGACTACTCTATCAGCCAGACAACTTTGGAGGAGATATTCTTGGAATTCGCGAAGTACCAACGTGAAGATCCACGCACGCTTAAGTGAGCAACAGATTTTCTAATTGTATAGCTCTAAATTGTGAATTTGTCTATTGTAATTGAACACAACCACAGATTCCGCACTTAAAATTATTAATTTTGACTAATATCTACATATAGTCTGTAGAGCTTACATTGGCATTAAATTGGCAAACCTATATGTAATGTACGAAATCGAAAAAAGTTTTCGTAGGAAAATCCATGGCAAAAAAATACTAACCACTCTAATAACAGCTGAATGAGATTGCATGAATACTTGTAAATACTTACGTTCTTACTGTCATACATACATACATATGTACTTATATACGTTTGTATAAAATAAATTCATATAAATACATACATATCTACACAAACTTACCTATCCAATTACACACATATCCATATGTATTTGCATGCCTAGTTACGTTCATATTGCGTTTATGAGTAAATTATGGTAATAAGAATTTTCATTCTTCTTAAACATCAATTTAAAAATAAAGCATTAAGAAGAAACGCTGCAGCTGCTGTCCGAAGTGACAATTAATGCCGAATTGCATGTCGGGATCAAAACGGGACAACCACCATCAGTACCAGCAGCAGTCATTGGACCAGGAGCTGTATGAAATAACGACAGCGCAATCGAAAAACAAAGGAGATTCAGTTTAAAAATAATCCTAGTACGCACAAGTATGTATACATATTTGCATATGCATATATACCACATACATATGTATACATATATGTTTATGTATACATACATATGCAGTGATTGCACAAATGTATAGCAAAGTGTAGTAGATGTGAAGGAAATATTAATTTATGTAGCAGGTATGTCAATATGTAGTATATCTGGGGGGGAGGTTGTTTGCAATTCAGGCCGAAAGATTGCTGAAGGGTGAAATGTGGACAGATATGGAACACGAATAAACTTAGCAAGCGCTAAAGTGCAAAACTTATTTATTAAGTGGAAGAACAACTAAACGTGCCTATGTATGTATATACAAATATATGCACTATTATATACTGGCATACATATGTATATACATACTTTACAAAATAAATGGTACTCTAATTAAAATGCATACATATGTACTTATTTTTGCTTACGTGTGCATTAATGAAAACAAAAGTCTCAAACAAGTCTTTTTGACGAAAACGAGCTTTTACATAGATAAATGTTATACTCGTATTTACATGTATATTTGCAAATAAATGTTAACAAAAGCGAGTTCAAATCGATTGAATTGCTTTCAATTTGCGTGCAGTACATACATACATATGCACATAGATATTTACATATATGTACGTATACTACTTAATATAAAAATTTAATAAGCGANAATTGCTTTCAATTTGCGTGCAGTACATACATACATATGCACATAGATATATACATATACTTGTATGTACGTATACTACTTAATATAAAAATTTAATAAGCGAAAACACTTTTCTTACTTAAATGCAAGCTAGTTCTAAAATTATTATTTAGCTGTGAAATTAATTCATGAAATTTACTTACAAATTGCCCATCAAGAAATGCGAACGACTTTAGTTTCTACTCTAAAAGTATTATAGTTTTGGTACTATTTTACTATTTACCAAATGTATTTTGTTAATTTTTATTCTTAAGCGAATGGATTTTTCTGAAACTTGTTAATGAATTCTGAAAAAAGTATTCATTAGTAGCAAATGCTTATACTTAGCTTTAAATGTACAACATAAACACCATAATTTAACACAAATATTAACTATTTTTATTAATCTCTTTACAATGTACATAAGGTCAGTCATTGATATTTCTATTTAACGATGAAATGTATGTATGAATGTATATTTACGTAACGTAATTGCAAACAAAGTTTATGCAACAACTTAAGCCACAGATGGAACCATGTATGTATGTATTTGATTTTTTTATTTTAATAAAAATTATAATTTTGAAATTCTTGCATTAGACTTGTCGATTTTCTTTTAGAATTTTCTAGAAATGTGAAATTTAAGGGTAGATGGTTGGGTGCACTTAGCATTACCAATTAACGTCAAATGGCACAAAAGAGAAACGACTTGCGTGCTTTATTGAACTCGGCCAAAATCGCTATGCGGTTACAGCGCCAAACAAGAATAAGAAGGTTGAGCGATTGATGGTTGTCGGAGCAATACAATGTGAAAGGTAANTTTCTTTTAGAATTTTCTAGAAATGTGAAATTTAAGGGTAGATGGTTGGGTGCACTTAGCATTACCAATTAACGTCAAATGGCACAAAAGAGAAACGACTTGCGTGCTTTATTGAACTCGGCCAAAATCGCTATGCGGTTACAGCGCCAAACAAGAATAAGAAGGTTGAGAGATTGATGGTTGTCGGAGCAATACAATGTGAAAGGTAATACCTTAAATGTGAGAGCGGAAAAGGTAGCTCATATAAGGATTCAGGAGATCGCTTTAGATATGAATCAGTTGGTAAAATTGCCGAACCGTTTTTATGCCGACCAGAGTATTTCAGTCTTTATTTGGTTTTGATTGGGTTAGGTTAGGAGGTCAAGGAGCTCCAAGAGTTTCACCTCCGCTATCTGCGTCACGCTGAGGAAAAAGCGTGACCCCAGGTATTTGAATCGCTTCGACTACAGTTCCGGACGTCGACACAGAATATGGTAAACTATAGGCTTGGGGAGCTGTTTCACTAAAGAGCGAAAGATCCAGGGCGGTTACTATGTAATCCGATTCGAAAGAATTTTCGTCCGAAAACAGATATTCCATACTACCTATTCCGGAATCGAATTGAAATAATCAATTTTCGGATTTCCATATTCGGTTTACGGATATGTACCACTACGTAATCCGAATTTGATTGCCAAAGTTACTCGAAAATTGAAAGTGATTCGAAAGCGTTTGAGCCATCAGATAACTTGTACTGGCGTAGGAAAATACAAAAAAAGTTAAAATAATGAATGCCATGTAACATTTTTGCATAGTTTTGCAATATATGTACTAAAGACATAAAGCAGCGCCACTAGAGCCTAGATAAAAATCTTAAGGCTACGTCTTACTCGTTTGTACGCTTTGTTGATGCCAATCTTTTGTTTTTTTTTTTCAACGGAGGGGGAATCTTTCAAAGATGTTATGCACGATTCGTCATCCTGTCCGCTAAGGGTACACCTCATTCGGGACCATGCCCAGACCAGAGAACGTAGATAACAAGAAGGGACAACCCGTTATAATTGTGGCGAAAGTGCGCAACAGGGGCGTGCCTTTTCTTTTCATCCAATCAAAAAACGCACTAGGGCAAAAGAGAAGGCACGCCCCAGTTGCGCACTTTCGCTACAATTATAACGAGTTGTCCCTTCTTGTTATCTACGTTCTTTGCCCAGACTATGTTATCGCATAATTCAGGACTTGCGAGACAGCGCGCCTACGTACTAAACCCTTAATTCCTACGTCTGAAGCTTGTGTTTGGCCTTGCTGGTTAGGTATTACGTCGTAGCTTTGCCAATTGGCTCTTCACATACGCCTTTCTGGGCTACCTCTCGTTCAGTCTTCTATTATCAGTTCCTGAAGGAATATAGCGGACCACGCTTGGCGCGCAATGTTTTCTGGCGTTTATAAGTTTTTCTAGCTCTGTCGGCGTCATACTTCGAGCAGAAAAAGAAAATGTGTTGCACGTTTTCACCGCTACTACCGCAGAAAGAACACTCTGTCCCGTTATCGTGTCCGCACTTGTTCAGATATTCTCTAAAACAGCCGTGGCCCGTCAGATACTGCGTTTAAGCTAGTCTGTCTTTCTTCTTTCCGTTTTTCAACTGTTAGTCGCCTGCCGATGTTTCTTGACTTGTCGAAAATTTTCTTAATTTTCAGAAAATTATAACAAATAAATCAAGGAAATAGCATTAATGATATGCAAGTACGTAGGTGAAAAATGAATTTCTGAATTTTTTTTTTGTTTAAACTTGTACGTTACATTATTTTTTCAACTTTATATCTAGCCTAATATTAGTAAATACTTGTTGTGCTAGTGTCCTTTCAAATAAATACAAATATAAGCAGCTGTGATTAGAAAAAAATATATAGCAAAAACTAAACAAATTTTTTAAACTAAAATTTTTTCCGATATCGCCATATTGGATCCGCCATTTTATTTAAAAAAATCGGACCTCAGATTTTAAATCATAGAATTCGAAAACCCCCCTTACATATGTCTTTGGTAAAAAAAAAAAATATAAAATTTGGTAGCCATATTGGATCCGCCATTTTGAATTTAAAAATTCTGCTATCAGATTCGAAATCAGTGCCCTCGAAAACTCTCAATTTATATGAGTTTATGCTGAAAAGGAAAAAGTTATAAAACTTGGTCGCCATACTGGATCCGCCTTTTTGAATTTCGAAAATCTGACATTATATTCGAAATCATCGACCTCAAAAACCCCCAAACACTAAGTTTCAAATCAATTTCGTTACTTCTCGACTTTTGGTCAGCAGATGATAGTCGCCAGACCATTGAGCACTGTATAGGTTAAGCACTGTATAGGTTAAGCACTCGTTCAATGTTCTAATAATTTACAAAATATTTAAGTAATAAAAACGATGACTTAAGTATATCATAGCTTTTTTAATGTTATTCCTAACAATCGCGTTCGCAATCGCGAATGTGAAAAATATAACATTCGAAACATCCCTAGTTCGTATGCACATTAATAAATATAAAATGCCAAACAAGTACGTACTATTTAGTACAAACAACGTAAATATGTACATATGTATGTAGCTCATTAAAATGAAAAATACATACACTGCCGGAACAAAGTAGTGGCACAGCAAATTTTTCACAATATATGCAACAATTTTTATTCTAATATTTTTCCGCCAATTTTGTATAAAAATATGGTTCATTCAACAAAAAAAAACATACAAATATAATTCCTAAACTGCATACTCAAAAAATTCTAAAAAATCTGATTGAAAAGTTGAAAGTTTTGATTAAAATTTGCTGAATTTTCGCGAGTTTTGCACAAAGTTTAGGAATTATTTTTTTATGTTTTTTGTTGTAGAATGAACCATATTTTTATACGAATTTAGCGGAAAAATATTAGAATGAAAATTGTTGCATATATTGTGAAAAATTTGCTGTGCCAATACTTTGTTCCGGCAGTGTATGTATATGTATACGTACATATGTATATAAATACAGTGCCGGACAAAAGTACTGGCAATATATCTGTAAAATTTTTTATTCTAATTTATTTTCGATAATAATAAAAGGAAAATTCAATAAATTTGAAACTTTCTATTCAGATTAAAAAAAAAACTAAGTTTGCGGTTTTATAGCCCATCTAATTTTAGTACGACAAAGTGCAAGCTTGAAGGTGTTAAAAAAGCGCGTTGGTTTTTGGCAATTTTATTTTTATTAAAAAATGTTGAAAATAAATTAGAATAAAAAACTCTGCATATAATGCGAAAAATTCTCTGTGCCAATACTTTTGTCCGGCACTGTATGTATAAATTATTTTCTAATTTTTGTATACATACATATGTAACAGCAATTATCAGATTCCAGGTTAATCAGGTTATGTTTAATCAGTTTGCGATTAATCAAATTAATTAGATTCTGATTAATCAGTATGTAATTAATCGGAAAATTAATCATTTCGATTAATCAAAAATTATTATTCTTTGATTAATTAATTTATCGGCTTTCGATTAATCACCTGTTCGATTATTTGATTAATCTCACATCCCTAGTAATGAGTGAAAAGTTTGAAATTTCATGTTTCTATATCTGAACAACCAGAACAGATTATAGTAACCCGAAAAAATAGTGCGAAATTGCGTGTTCCTAGCTGCATAAATGGAGGAAAATCTCATAACCGAACAATCAGTTGTATGGGAGCTATATGTTATAGTGACCCGATCTTTGTCATTTTCACTGTACCCCTGTCCACTTTTAGTTCATACACTTTGAAATATTTCTGCTTCAAGATTTTATGCATTAAAAATGTGAAGCCTATGAACTAAAGGTGGGCAGGGTAGTAAGTATTCTGTTGAAAATGAGTGAAAAGAGTTATGACGAAAAATCTCACATCTAAACAATCGGTTCTGTGGGAGCTATATGTTATAGGGGTTCGATTTTACAGGTCCGACAAATGATTAATACATTATACAGACATACAGACTGGCCGGCAGCTCGATATTCTGATCATATAAGTATACATGTTCATGTGTCTATCCCTTCTTATTCTGGTACTTACAAATATCAAAAAAATTATAATTTCCTTAGGACATTTCGTTATTTTAATTAGTATAATTTTCTGAACAAGACGGTACTTTTTATCCGTTAGAGAATCATTTCGACCCCAAGTACCAGACTTAGGGCCGGTTGTTCAATGTCTGGTTATCACTACTTGCCGGTTAAACATCATTATCGACGATTTCGACATCATGCATATAACATGTGATCGATAAATCAGTCGTTGTATTTAACCGGAGGTTCTACCTCCGATTTTTGCTAATCAGGCATTGAACACCCGGCCCTTAATGGTCTAAGAGCAGAATAGCTTTACTTTAACTTGTTCCAATTTTATATTTTANTATTTAACCGGAGGTTCTACCTCCGATTTTTGCTAATCAGGCATTGAACAACCGGCCCTTAATGGTCTAAGAGCAGAATAGCTTTACTTTAACTTGTTCCAATTTTATATTTTATTTTTTTTTTTTATAAAGAGACACTTTAGTCCCCCTCTAAATATTCCGAGATTGTCTTCGAATTTATAGGAAGATGTGAAGTCTTCGAGCATCTTTTTAAACGCTACAACCTTCCATTCACAGTTATTTACTTACCTCGATAGTCACAAATTTTTTTTAATCAAAAGTGCTCCTCGTGAAGTTCGCAAATATAACTTATTAAACTTTATTAGCTTTCAAGTAATTTATATAGTTTATCTGTATGCATAAGAAAAAATAAACATTTTATTTTTAATAAAAGTTGGAAGGTACATATTTCTTTAGTGATTTGAGTTACATACATGTTTGGTTTCACATTTACGAAATTCCAAGTAAAACATTAAGTAATAGTTAAATATCTACTTGAGGCCAATGTTACTTACTTACGCTGAAATGTGGCCACATCATCCAATATCTTGGCCGTCATAAATCGCGAATTTGGGCGCGATGACGGAGACGTACTTGCACTACTTGTATGGCTGCCGCTATCGGGAGACAGAGGTACATGAGTTGGCGAACGCGCTGGAACTAAAAGAAATTCGTTGAACAAAAATTCAGCATCCATGGATTGCGTTTTGTTATGGAAGTCTCGCGGAATCCGTTTCGGTGGCTCTATGAAACGTTCCTTAACAATCAAAGCACCAGGGCGAGGTAGACCACTAGCACCATGATCTAAACCAACAGTAGAACTGCGAGCTGCCGCCGCCGCTGTTGTTGTAACACCAGGAGTGGGCTGCGAGACAATGGAAATCGGTGCTGCTTTATGCAGTGCTGATCCTGTGACCGACGCAGAAGGCGAGCCCTCACACACCGAACTTTTTAGATTGATGCAAGACTGTGTGTGACTGACATCGTCCAATTCTGAAGCATTGTGTGGCATTCGTTTAAGTGTATTACTTGCAAATGGGAAATTCGAATTAGAAGTGGATTGTGTAAGAGTTTCAAACTTGCGCAAACGAGCATCCTGTTTTAGGATGGAAGCAGAGGGGATGTTAATGGATGCATGTAAATTGGAGTACTCCTTTTGGCGTTCATAGTCGCCGCCCTCGAAGAGACTTATTTGTTTCTTAATTTTTGGAGAAATGGGATCTGTTGCTTTGCGCGCACCACGACGCTGGGTGAAATCGCCACAGAGCGGAAGTGGTGGCAAAGATGTGGGCTCACCAAATAAATTTGATTCTGGCGAAGAACTTATAATTTTCGTAACTGATATTTCAAGTGATTTCGGGAGTGCACCAACTGTATCCTCGACATCGGGGGGTTCAGCCATTTCGGCATGAGTAGGGCAACAATAGCATGCTTCAAGTTTGGGATCATCCATCGGTAAAGATGGCGTTGTAGCGGCTGAGAGCGTAGTTTCATCTTCATCTTCGAAGCCCTAAGTTTGAGAATAAGATAAAAGAAGGAAATTCAAAACTAATTTATAAAGTTAATAAATCAGTTAAAGGATTCTACGATGGATTAATTGTGCATGCAGTGACTTCACCTCGCATTTAAATTGAAAGCTTATAGCTTTGCAAATCTATTGTCAGAGGTTGATCCTAATACATGTAAGAACGTATTTTTTGAAACAACTGTATTTAAGAGGTATGGAATACATATAAGCCCTTTTTATTAACTATTTAATGAAAGCCTTAGATGCCCATAAGATATGTAATTAAGGTAGGCCTTCTGAAGTGAAGCCATTCTAAAAGGCTTGCCCATGAAGCGTTAAAAAAATGGCGTTTCTAATTACAATTTACTTTATATTATTTAGCAATACAGATCGATTTCAATATGCATTTTTTGTTTCCATAAAACCTATTTGATATGAACCTTTAATAAACACCGTAAAGAAGTATGTTTTTTATGAATTAGAGAAGTAACTATAGCCGAACTCCTAAAAAGGCCTCTGAAGTAAGTCCTACAAAAGTCCTTCTGGAAGCTCTTCTATGGGTAGCCAAAGCAGAAGCCTTTCAATGTGTGCCACTCCACACAAAAAAGAAAGCAGAAAGTAGTGCGGAATGGAAGGGTCTTGACTCTCAGCAAGACCTTTTGGAAGGGCTTTTGGCTCCTGAAATTATATACTGGGTATTGAACTGAATGGGAGCGTACTGGTAAAAAACGAAGAACCGTTTAGAGCTTAAAATTTAATGGTTTTTCTAAAGGAAATGGATTCAATTGGATAAAGTTTGGGTTTACTCACATCAACGGAAAGTGTCATCGATCCTTTGTTCGCAATCATGCTTATGTCCATACCAAAGCTGACCGGTGTAAGGCAAGCGCTCACATCACCACGACTACTGCCGCCTCCAAAGGTAAATACGCCATCAGCATCTATGTCCAAAGCGTCTGCATTCATAGGAGTGTACACGGATACCGCATTCAAATCTTCGTCCTCGAGTTGTGGAAAAAATCTGGCAAGCTCCTCTGCTACGGGCATTATGTTAACGCTACTTTTTGTTTTTTATTTTACCATTTATTTTTTACAAAAAGTGCAAATTTTTTTACAATTCAGCCGGTTCAAATAATTACATTTTTTCAAAATAATTAAAAGAACAAAATATGAATATGAAGAAAAATTATAGAAATTCAAGAAAGCATAGCGTGAGCTTCAACATTTAGACATCGATATTTGTATTTATGTATACTCATAAATTCATACTGACCCCTCAGCGCTGGTTACACTAATCGACAAATCGGCACTGGGTATTTCATGCGAATAACTTTCCGAAATGGCTGGGGATGAGGGTTCAGTACTGCTGGCGACACTCGATTGCTGGCTCCAGACTTGCAATGATTTTTTGAGGTTGTACCATTCATTTATTTTACAATATTAGTTAGTGTTTTTAATGAAATTTTTTCATTGGCTTTTGTACTTGCAACTGAAAATGCATTCGAGCAAAGTCGCTAAATACATACATATATGCAGAAAGAAAGCATTCCGTACTATGTACAAAAAACGTGTTTAACAGTGCTGTCTTATAGAGAAAACCTGGAAATTTTTGTTTACAAAAAACATAAAATACATCCCTCAAAACGCTAGAATATTTTTGCGGTGATAAAAAGTCGTTTTTCCCTTTTAAAAGTAATCGGTGTGGGTTATGCCCCGTGCATCCCAAAAAAAAAACACATTCACCATAACCTTGTTATCCAACAGATTCACATCTAACTTCTTCATTACTGATTCATTTCGAAAACCATGCTGTTGCGATTGCTGCTTGCCCTTNCTTTTAAAAGTAATCGGTGTGGGTTATGCCCCGTGCATCCCAAAAAAAAATACACATTCACCATAACCTTGTTATCCAACACATTCACATCTAACTTCTTCATTACTGATTCATTTCGAAAACCATGCTGTTGCGATTGCTGCTTGCCCTCGAGTGTGTTGTTGTGGATCCGTGCTTCGGATTTGGATATGAAACGTCGCAAAAACCTCATACGGATAGCAGTTAAACAATGCCAGGCCTTTTAAACTGTCACACGATTGAGATTGTAAGTAATTGTAAAGACGACACACGTTTGGTCAATATCTTTGTCACAACTAAGTGCTCATCCAAAATAAATACAGACACATACAATGAACCATGTAATATGCATATGGGTGTTTCCATGAAAATGTCAACCAGGACTGAAAAAATAAAAACAACTGAAAAGGGTTTTTAAGACGAATTAATAAGAGAAAAATACTCGAATTTTTATATTATAGAAGTATTTCAGCTTATTGGAATTTTAAAACTCAAAAATGGAAGAGTAAAACTGAATGTCTCTTCGACTCAGTTTTCTCTAATGAAATGAACTATTTTCTCTTTCCTATTAACTAAATTAAGAGATTTGAAACATTACAATTACATCTTAAAATCTAATTTGCAATAACAACTAACTATAAAAATGAGAAAAAGGAGAAGTTAGAGCTCGAATAACGGTAATTTTTTGATTTGCTTCTGATAGTATTCTAATGTCGCGTACGTTATGCAAAAACATTGTTTGTCTATGTCATTTGTATATTGGCAGTCGCAGGTAATGCAGATTACAATTCTTAAGCGAGAATTCTTCTAGTTAAAGATATACAGTAAAATTTTCTTTCCAACCGAAGTAAAAATATATTTTATTACCCTTTAAAGTTTGTCGCATACGTTATTGTAAGTACGAAAATTTCAATCAAATACATCAAAACCAATGTTAATTGCAAATTTTCCATTTAAATTATTTAGAATAGTTGTAAAACAATGAAACGGTGGCGAGAAGAGTTCTCAATAAATACATTTTATTACTTACGAGAAAAATTGTCGCGTACGTTATGTCGCGTACGTTATTGTTTTTTTTTTTATATAAAACTAGCCAGAGATAATTTCTCTTAAAATATGAAAGGATTGTAAAGGTACATTATTTAGCTTAGTTTAGGAATTTTTAAAGAAAAGAAAAACTCCCATGATTCGCAGACTTTCGCATGTATGCGTGTTTCCATGAAAATGTAAACCGAAAATGCAAGCTAATGAATTCAAACGGCTTTATAACTTTAAGTTTCGTATTCCGATGGCGGAAAAAGGTTTTGAAAACGCGAAACGGTGGAGAGAAGAACTGAAAAAATTTAATTCAGTATGTGTTACTAGTAAAAATATTGTATGGGGGAAAAATCTGTCGCGTACGTTATGTCGCGTACGTTATTATAATTTTTTTTAATAAAAACTAACCAGAGATAATTTCTATCAAAAAATGGAAGGATTGTAAAGGTACATTATTTAGCTTAGTTTAGGAATTTTTAAAGAAAAGAAAAACTCTCATGATTCGCAGACTTTCGCATATATGTATATGTGCCTTAAAACTACTTCTTTTTTTGTCGCGTACGTTATCACCTGGTTTTGAACGGATATTTTCCACACCAAAGTTTCGAGACTGCTTATTTTTTTCTCAAACATAGTACCCTTTGGTTGCAACATAACCGTAATCTCTTTTTTCTGTAACTTCTATTTTTGATAGATTTACGTTACTCCATAAGCGTACGAATGTCGCGTACGGCTGTATGGAAACACCCATATGTATGTAGACTATGATCGGTCTTCTTAAATATCGCGCACTAAAACGAAATTTCAATTGTTTCGGATGTAGTCACCTTAAATTTCCATGCCGTCTAGAACGTTCGGCGTCTTTCGTGCTTTACTACTAACATGTATGTGGTAGTTGCCGATATCGTCAAGGAAAGCGTCAATGTAAAATTGTTCGTTTGAAGGCGACCGTTCCAGAAGAGGACAAAACCGCTCAGTCAACACGACCAAGCATCTCAATATCATCAAGAATCACACAGAACTGGTGCAGAACCCATTTTCCAGACTTCATCTCGTCTGTGGAATAGCCACACGCCGGATCTTAACCCAATGGACTACAGGTTGTGGTCGATTTTAGAGGCCAAAGCATGTGCTAAGCGCCGCAACAATTTGGAGGCACTGAAGCCATTGCTGCGCCGGGAATGGGACCAATTGTCTTCAGAAAACCTGCGGCCCATCGTCGAAAATTTTAAACCACGTTTGTATTTCTGTATCGCCGCCAAGGAGGGCCACTTTGAAACTGGCTGACTATTACTACGTTTATACGCACGTAATATTTGCAAATAACAATTTGCAAAATGGTAAAATTTGCCGTATAAACGCTGAGTTAATTTTTTATTTGCAAATAACTAAATCACGTAAATAAGTATTGATTAGTGGTACTATTTGCAAATAAGCGCAAGACGCCGCCATTCTTAGGTTAATTTTTCGATGATCATCTTATTGCCTTTTTATAATAAGGCAATATTGAAAAAGAATTTTTCACCATCGAATAAACAGTGAGTTAGGTATTTGCAAATTATTTTTATTTGCAAATAGCTTACGTATAAACGTAGTATATGTTGCTAATAAATATCCATGTTACTGTCATTTATAGTTTTTTTATGAATTGTTTCCGTTTAAAAAATTTATGATAGAAAACGTTAGTACATGTTATTTATTGTCCCCTGTATATGTATATATATGTTTGCGTATTGAAAGTATGATTTGAGAACCTAATGGTATTGTTGCCGTTTCTTTATTAGCCTATATTTCTTCTTGGCGTGGTATACAAAATGCAAAATTTAGGAGGATTTTACTTCATACGCAGTGGTAGTTCCACAAAAATATATGCATACTAGACTCCATACAAAAGAATATAGCACTTTAAAAGCGGGTTTTAGTGTGTCAAGGGCACATTTTTCTGACGCTTTCAAAGTGATGGGGTAATTACATCCGCTTTTTGACTAAAGCTGTTTTAAACTTTCTTATAAAGTAAGATGTCCACCTGTATTTTTCAGTCCGAATAAAAACTGAGGCAATATTTAAGCTAAATTTGTCGACAGTACAAAATAATGTTTAACTGCATGTTAAATCCTCCACAGAGGCTTGTCTATTTACGATTTACTTTACATACAATAATTTCATACACACAAAAAGTTGTAGTCGTGGAAAATCTATGTGGAAGCGTAATTGTTTTTTATATCAAAATATGTTGAAATTACGAGAGGAAAATATATAAATATAACTTGGAAGTGCTAATTACATTCAAGCAAAATTATAAAAAAAAATAGAAAACGCTGTGCTTCAAAAGCATGATTGATTAATTAAAGGTTTGCTCACTAGTGACATTAAGAGTTTTGACACTCCCTTAACTCCCTTACAAAAGGTTGCACACACACACGCACCCACACACTAAAGGAGCCTATTTTGTCAAGAGGGAGCGAGAAAACTGTTTTCTGAGCAAACCTTTTGTTATTGAATCATGCTTCAAGAGAATGTTTTTGTGTTCGCATAACAATATGTAGACTCAAAGAATACACAAAATATATGTATGTATGTACATGTAAATGAATCTATAAATACATATTGAAAAATTACTTAAAGTTACAGAAAAGATATGTACATATGTAAAAGCTCAGTTAGTCTAGACTTAACTCAAATTAACTTACCGTAAGAAATCATCAATGATTACTCTACACGTCAACTTAAGCCAAGAGCGGAAATATTTTGTTTTTGTATTTTCTCTTTCAGCTGTATAACAGTTCGCCGAATAAAATGCCACATCAAAAAAAAATCATGCAAACAAAAATGTTTGCTTTCATTTATTTTTAAGAAATACAAAAACGAGAGTCTGGCAAGCCTGATTCTCTCACCGCTCTCAATTTCCGTAAGACCGTAACTAAGGAACCTAAAATCTACAGGTTCTTAAGTTTCTTACAGTAAGTTAAGTTTTAACTAACCGCAAACACAGTTTCTCATATAACAGGTTGGCCAAAATATTAAGTTAAGTTAAGTTACGGAAATTAAGTCTAGACTAACTGAGCTTTAAGTATGTAGATCGTTTAATTTAAAATTATAATTTTGCATACAAATCTTTTTGTGGTGTTTTGCGAATAGCAAAAGTGTAAAGAGCTTTCAACAACACCAATAAAATAAGCTCACTACAGCAATCGCAATTAAAATATTTCGATAACTATAATCCCTCGGACTTACTTCCCACATTTGGTTGAGCTGATTGTGGCGCATTTGCATTGCTTGGAGCTGCTGATGCCACCGTCTCCTGTGGGGCATTTATCAATGCTGCGGCTGATGGTGGTGGTTGATGCAAACACACTGCGTTTCTCAAAGTTGACTCTAGGATCGGTTGCCCTTGTCCGTCCGCCATTTCCTGGCAATGACACTCGCTGTCACTTTCACCGGACATAAAACTTGTAATCGCATCCAACGAGTACATTGACTGCAATGCACCTTGTACTATGTTCTGTTGGGGTGTTGATGGATGTTTTGGCGGCGATGATGCTGGCGTCTTGAATAGTGGCGAAGTAGTCATTTTATGTAGAAATTGATCAAGCTGCTTTAGCGAAAGTGCATTGTGTAGCGTCTCCAATGGTCGAATTGGTGGTACACCGCCGAAACCTTCAAGCACTATGTGCCAAGTTCCGTGGCGAATCGATGAGATAAATACAATAAAAAGAAAATTGGGTTAGAAAATGTATACCTATTATTTGTTCAGAATTTTGCAATACAAAAACTAAATATCTTACTAGATCTACTTGGAAGTACACAGTTTACATACAGTAACAGTAAAAGTAGTGTGCTAGTGATTGAAGTGATTCTCACGGCACAAATGCACTAGAAGTTGTGCCAATACGTCATTTTAGAAATATACTCGGCGACTTGAAATTACTTGAGGCCAGGTTTTGACTGTCTTTTTTTAACTATTATTTTTATTAGAAGAAAATAAAACTATCTCTTCAGGATCATGAAACTAAAGATATTTAAAGAAAAATTAAAACGAATAACACAAAAACACAACCGGCTCAATTCTAATTTAAAAATTTAGGAGTTCCGTTAATTTCTTCATGATCCCATGATCGAATCTAAACCAAAATAGTATGAAATCACCTTTCCGATAAAAAAAGAATGTGGTCCAAAGATATTCGTAAAAGTTAGACATAAAAAAAAAATATTTCGACGAACTGATAACCTCCTCCTTTTATTTGAACCCGGTTAAAAATTACACTCATACAGTCCTTCTAGCGCCGCAGAGTGGGGCAAAAAAGGTTGCTGTGGACAAATCAATTTTGAGAGTCCAAATATGAACCGATTTCAAATTTATTTTTTTTTTAAATAAAAGATGATTAAATTTCGTGTCGATCTGTCCGTGGCGATTTTTTAAAACAGCCCTGGTTTTTTATTTATTTATGTTGAAAAATGAAAGAAAAAAAAATTTCACGTTTGAATGCTTCCACTTTTTTTGAAAATACTTGAAATTAATTTCAAATGCCTGCAATTATTTAAAAAAACTATTCATAAATATTTTTCCATAGGAAACATTTAATAAAAAAATATTTTTAATTTGCCATCTATACGGATATATATTTTGANGTTCCGTGGCGAATCGATGAGATAAATACAATAAAAAGAAAATTGGGTTAGAAAATGTATACCTATTATTTGTTCAGAATTTTGCAATACAAAAACTAAATATCTTACTAGATCTACTTGGAAGTACACAGTTTACATACAGTAACAGTAAAAGTAGTGTGCTAGTGATTGAAGTGATTCTCACGGCACAAATGCACTAGAAGTTGTGCCAATACGTCATTTTAGAAATATACTCGGCGACTTGAAATTACTTGAGGCCAGGTTNTATTATTTGTTCAGAATTTTGCAATACAAAAACTAAATATCTTACTAGATCTACTTGGAAGTACACAGTTTACATACAGTAACAGTAAAAGTAGTGTGCTAGTGATTGAAGTGATTCTCACGGCACAAAAGCACTAGAAGTTGTGCCAATACGTCATTTTAGAAATATACTCGGCGACTTGAAATTACTTGACTGTCTTTTTTTAACTATTATTTTTATTAGAAGAAAATAAAACTATCTCTTCAGGATCATGAAACTAAAGATATTTAAAGAAAAATTAAAACGAATAACACAAAAACACAACCGGCTCAATTCTAATTTAAAAATTTAGGAGTTCCGTTAATTTCTTCATGATCCCATGATCGAATCTAAACCAAAATAGTATGAAATCACCTTTCCGATAAAAAAAGAATGTGGTCCAAAGATATTCGTAAAAGTTAGACATAAAAAAAAAATATTTCGACGAACTGATAACCTCCTCCTTTTATTTGAACCCGGTTAAAAATTACACTCATACAGTCCTTCTAGCGCCGCAGAGTGGGGCAAAAAAGGTTGCTGTGGACAAATCAATTTTGAGAGTCCAAATATGAACCGATTTCAAATTTATTTTTTTTTTAAATAAAAGATGATTAAATTTCGTGTCGATCTGTCCGTGGCGATTTTTTAAAACAGCCCTGGTTTTTTATTTATTTATGTTGAAAAATGAAAGAAAAAAAAATTTCACGTTTGAATGCTTCCACTTTTTTTGAAAATACTTGAAATTAATTTCAAATGCCTGCAATTATTTAAAAAAACTATTCATAAATATTTTTCCATAGGAAACATTTAATAAAAAAATATTTTTAATTTGCCATCTATACGGATATATATTTTGAAAGCCGTTTTTTTTCTAATCGAAAAACTCGAGAACAGCTGTACCGATATTTTTGAAATTTTGGACATCGACTCTAGACCCTCAAAGGATGATAATAGAAGAAGAATAATTTCGATATATCAAGGGGCGTGGCACCTCCCATACAAACTAAAGTTTTCACACAACATATGTATGGAAGTATTCATCGTAGAGTGCTGCAACTTAGTATACAGTATATATCTCTCAACGCCAAACTCATGGAAAAAATGGGAGTTATTGAAAAAGGGGGCGTGGCGTGAATGTGTATGTGGTGTGAGAAAATTATAAATTAAAAACGTATTTAGTTACCTTCGATGACGTGTTATTAAATGAAAAATACTAGTGAAAAATATTTCGTTCAGTTTGACGTTATTTTTTCGAAAAATACAATGCCTACTGCTTGCGTAACCATATGGTCACGCTGGAGTTATTCGAGTTAAGATGCTGAGAAAAGAAGACGAAAACTTGACAGCTTTGGAGCAGGTTAGAGTAAATGCAACATTATTTCGAGAAAAAAAAAACGCTATAAGATTCGCCTTGACCTTTAAAACAACTGTAAAGTCTAAAGCATGATATAAAAATGATTTTCTTCAGATAAGCCGATTTTTTTCCAATTGAGGTAAAGATAAATACTTAAGCTAGTGNGTCTAAAGCATGATATAAAAATGATTTTCTTCAGATAAGCCGATTTTTTTTTGAGGTAAAGATAAATACTTAAGCTAGTCTGAAGTGATATTTTTTTACTAATTAATTTACTCCTTTAATTTATGCAGAAGAAATTAATCCAATGGTTTATTGGTAGAGCTGTGGCAAACTGTATGTATTCGTTACTGAGTAACGGGTACAATCCCTGACTCGAAGTACCGAATCGTTACTCACATAATAATCTCGTTACTCGCATGTTCCGTATATGCACCATTAACGTGAATCAATTCAACGCAACATATTGTGCGGGAACGAAACTGTTGTTCGTATCGATGCTAAAAGAGCTGTGTTAAAGCGTGNTTCAACGCAACATATTGTGCGGGAACGAAACTGTTGTTCGTATCGATGCTAAAAAAGCTGTGTTAAAGCGTGTATATGTACGTACTAGGGATGTTGCGAATGTGGAATTTTAGACATCCGCGGATGCGAATGCGGATGCGAATATCTAACAGCTAACATCCGCGGATGCGGATGCGAATGCGGATGTCAAGTATTTTTAAGAAACAATTAGAATTTAGCATAATGGCGAGATCGTTGTTTAAACAGCGCTTACAAGCCAAACCAGATGTGTCAGGTTTTTGTAATGGTGATTTCGTTTCTACCAAAAAAAATGTCGCCTTTTCATTGCCCGTCTCTTTTTGTGTTCGATTCTCAATTAAAGGCAAAGGGTGAGGAAATTTTGTGTTCGTTTCTTAAAATGTTACATTACTGTAAGGCAAAAATCACATTCCATGCCCTGTGATGCTTTGTCATGGAAGATGGTTGCCCTGAAAATAAGATGGTTGTTTAAAACAGCAATATTATGAAATGGGTGAGCTAGACAAGGACAAGAAGGCAAAAATACGCTTTTTACAGGGTTGTGTGTAACAAACACACTTTGCGCCGGGGAAGGGCAAGATTTTTTCGAAGAAACGAAATCGTCATAAAGCTTTCTAAAAAGAATTCTTCATTCTCATTCCTTTGGCTATTTCAGAATTTGGGGAATCTGTAACTTCATCAGCGTTTTTCGGATCCAGTTTCTGTAATTCATTTTTAATACTTTATTCCGCGGCTGGTTTGAAAAATGTGTACTTATAGCGAGCTGTGGAAAATAAATTATTATTTTCCAGGAATGAAAATGTTGAACAAAATTCTGTTTTCAAAGTCGTAACTGCCAGCCGAATCGGATCAGAATATTGTTATTTTTTTAAAACAGCACCCTGTTTTGTTATAAGCATTTGAATCTGAGATAGTTACGTTATTCTTATTTTATTAAAGGTCAAACCCATAGTTTTTTTATTATTTGAGCATCGATTCTCTTTCTAGCCAGACGTTGACCATTTCTGCTGGAAATCAGTATTGAAGGAGCTTACTCTTTGACTTTAAATAGCAAAGAATGGGCAGTTTTACCACCGCAGTTTTTGGTCAATGTATGTCTCTATGAAAAGTATATTGCCCGACAAGTAAACAAAATTACTGTTTTTAAAATTTTTCTAAAAATAAATTCCTTAAAGAGCCCCATTTGAAATTATTGAAACGAATATATGTAACATCAAAAGCAAATCACGAAAATGTGGTTAGGAATTACAGTACACATTTTCTTATTTTTTGTCAAGTAGTTTTTTTAAGATTGATCCAACAAAACCATAATAAAGAAAGAAACCAATACAGGTATTTAAAGCACACAAAAAAATTGGTAAAAAGGCTATGTTCTCTTTGATGTACGTCAAAGGTCAGGTATTGATAGCTCGGCTAGCTAAAGAAATAATATGTTTAAAGACATTTTTATCAGAGTTGATAAAGTTTTGTTACACAAATATTCCCACGACCACAGGCAAAAATATTGGCTACAATTTGTCGTTTTGTTTGCCATATAGGTATACGCTTTATCGGTGCACTTGCACAACATTAGCATTCGCAAAAGCTCCGCATTGATTATTGCGAATGCGAAAGCGAATGTTAAAATTAATGCGGAAGCTCCGCGGTTACGAATGCGAAAGCGAATATTCGCAACAACCCCGGTACGTACATGCATGCATATGTACGAATGAACATTTCCGTACGCTGCAATATTCGTTGCGATGATTCGTGTGAGGTACAAGTGCTTACATCAAAAGTAAAGAGTAAAGTAACGATACGAAAGATACGGGTGTTGATTGGAGTAGTAAGGAATACATACGGGTATCGAAATTTTCG